GAGCTTCGGCCCCCAGCTTCAGCTGCGCCAGCAGCGCGGCCAGGCCTGGCGCAAGCCCCGAGCACATTACACACGGCCCCCACCTGCCTGGCACCCCGCTCTGTCCCACAGCCCCAAGCTCATAGCCTGGGGGTGCCCCTGCCCCCCCCCCCACCCTGCCACCCCCAACCCCACATCCCTGCAGTGATGGGGCCTGGCTCTCACGTGGACATGGGGGTGCCATTTCCGGTGCCCCCCAGTTGTGCCGGCCAGCGCTCCTGACTCACCCTCCAATGTTAGGTTCCCCGACCCATTGCCGTAGCGCTGGAAGATGTAGTCCAGGAAGGACGGCCACGGCCAGCACCCGCCCTGCCATGTTGCGCACCACCTGGGCCGAAAGCTTGGCGCTCTCTTCCAGGATGCGGGATGCGTCCACACACGGCTGGGGGAAGAGCAGCATGTGAGACCCCCCCCTTGAACCAGCCAGCCCCGGGGCCACAGGGATGACTGCTCTCGGCTGCAGGGGTCTGGGGGCGTCCTGTGCTGGGGACAGTGTTTGCTCCGTGACCCCCGGAGCCCATGAGCAGGGGGCAGGCTCTGGGCAATGCGACCTGCTGGGAACACAGCGGGAAAGGCGTGCACATCCATGCACACGCGTGAGCTAGCTGGACGCTGCCCGAAGCCCCTGCTGTCACCCTCCCCCCCGCCCCCACTGGCTCCGCATGGGGGTGTCCTCCCTCCCTTGGGGGCTGAGCAGCAAAGCCCCCGCCGGGGGCCACTGGCTGGCCCTGAGGGGCACGTGGGGCTGGGCAGGGCAACCAGAATGGGCAGGTCAGCTTCTCACCAGCAGGGGGCAGCACACGACATAGAGACACTCATGCACACACACACGGACATGCACATGTATGTGCATGCGCACTTGTACACTTGCAGGCATGCACGTATATACTCATGCATATGTGTGTGCACACTAATATGCATACCCATATACACATATGCACGCTCACATGCAAGGACATATACACATGTGTGCACATATAAACACGTGCATGCACTTGCAAATCTACACACACATGCATGCACACACATGCACACATGCATGCACATATATGCATACACATGTGCACATGTCTGCACATGCGTGCATACACATGCACACACATGCACACAATGCACGCACATACAAATATGCAAACATGCAAGGAAACACGCTTATACACACATGCACACAAATATATGCATGCAGGCACATATACATGTAAATGTATGCACATATATGTGCACATGCATGTGCAAGTGTGGACAGGCACCTGGATACATGCATACACATGCATGCACATACACACACATGCAAATATTCACACATATGCAAGCGCACACACTTGTGCCTGCACACACACACACATGGAGGAGCGCGGTCTCTCACCTCATGCGTGTCTTCGGGTCTGTAATTCCTCTGCACGCCCCGCAGCAGCTCCGCCACCTTCTCAGGCACCGGCCCTGCGGTGGGGTTCCCACTGGAGAAGGCGCTGAAGAAGGCCCTGACCTGGCCTGTCCAGCGGCCGTCCCGCAGGGCTGCGCAGGTCGCGGCAGGGTCCATCAGGTACAGCAGTATGCTGGTACCCAGCCATGGGAGCTCCGAAGCCGTCAGGTTGGCGTCGTCCGTGGCCTTCTTGCCCACGAGCGCAAAGACATTCGGTGCGGAGAGGCACTGTGGGCAGAGGGCGGGTGTCACGGCACGGAACGGCACGGCACGGCACCAGCAGCTCCAGCCTGGGAGCACAGGGACTGCCGGAGGCCACATCTGCCCGTGGCTGCCGTGGGGTGAGCACGGGGACACTCTGTCCCTAAGCAGCTCGACCCGGTGGTTGTGACCCCACAAAGCAGCAGGCACTTCCCCTCCCTGACCCCATCCCTCGCGCAGGGCTGGAGGCCGTGGATCGCCCTGCGATGGTTGAGCTGGGACAGCGGGTGCCAGGCCCTCCCGGGATGCTCACACCCTGCCCAAGCTGCTGGCATCCCTCATTTCTGTCCGGGGGCTGGGGCCTGGCATGGCTTAAGCCACGTCCAGGGCAGCACAGACCCGTCCGCCCTGTCCTGCAGTCGTGCCACCACCCTGTGCTGTGGCGATGCCCCACGGGCAGTGATGGCTCCAGGGGCTGCCCCGGGGAAGAGGCACAGGGCAGGGTGTGACAGAGCCCATGGGTGAGGACAGTGGGGCCGGGAGATCTCAGCACTGTGGGCACACAGTTAGTGTGGGCGTGCACACAGGGACGGCTGGCGTGAATGCAACGAAGCTTGTGGGATCTGCACAGAACTGCAGGACAGGGAGGGGGCAGCCCAGGCTGCCAGGCAGGGCACCAGGCCAGTTGGTCAATCATGCCAGCGTCCTGGGCCTCAGTCCTGCCCTCGAGAGTGCACGGGACTGCCAAGACGTGCCCTCATGCCTCTCCAGCCTGTTCTTGCTGCTCCTTGCTGCCCAGCCTGGGCTGGCATGGGGAGGCTGGCCCGGGGACGCTGGCTTGGGGGAGGCTGGCTCTCAGCACCCTTGGCTTCGGCTGGCAGGGGGACGGAGCAGAGAGCTCAGACCCCCGGACTCAGCGTGCGGGGTTATCAGCCTCTGACTTTCTGAGTGCTGGAGCCAAGGGCACATGAGGCTGCACGGCCGGGGCTTCCCCATGCTTGTACCTCCGCTCCTCCAGTCCTGCGCAGGCCACGTGCCTACCGCAGGGGCGGCTGGGGTTTTCCAGGCCCCACGGCTGAACTGATGCAACGGGAAAGCCCCCGGTGGGGGGAAGGGGCCGCGGGCAGGATGGAGATGCCACAGCAGTAGTGGCTTTAGGGGAGGCAAACTCGGCGACTGCCCGGGGCCCCACACTTTAAGGGGCCCAAATGACACTGAATATTTGTATTGTCCATATTGTATCCGGATACTGTCATTGCAGTTCCGTGCACAGGGCAACGTGAAACTGAAATAAAAAGTGTCCGACTTGCTTATAGGTCATCAGAATTAAGCCCCTAAGGGCCCCCAAATGACTCGCAGCCCAGGGCCCCAGCAACACTACGGCCACCTCTGCTACCAGTGCCGCCTCCTCGCCAAGGGGCCGGATGTCGGGGCAGCCCTGCAGGCAGCACTGCAGTGTCCCACACAGAGGCACACACCAGTGCTCGCACACTCACGCAGGCACGCGTGCACATGAACATTGCCTTGCATGCATACACACACAGCTTGCATGCACACGCACACATGCATGCACACACATGCTCTTACATGCACACATATGCACGTGCGCATGCGCACAGATGTGTACTCATACATGCATACACGCACCCATATATGTACACGCACATGCTCACACATGAATGCACACATGTACACATACACACACATGCTTACGCACGTACATACCTATAGGGAGTCACATGCACACACACTCATGCTCAGACATACACATGCACATGCTCATATATGCACACACATTCTCATACACACACAACCTGATGCCTTCTATGACGAGGTGGCTCTGTGGATGCAGGGAGACCGGTGGATGTGATAAACCTTGATTTTACTAAGGCTTTTGATACGGTCTCCCACAGCATTATCGCAGGCAAGCTGAGGAAGTACGGGCTGGATGAATGGACTGTAAGGGGGATAGAAAACTGGCTGGAGCATCAGGCTCAGAGGGCAGTAATCAATGGCTCCATGTCTAGTTGGCAGCTGGGCTCAAATGCAGTGCCCCGGGGTCGGTCCGGGGCCGGTTTTGTTCAATATCTTCATCAATGACCTGGAAAATGGCACAGAGTGCACCCTCAGCAAGTCTGCAGATGGCACCAAGCTGGGGGTATAGCAGATACACTGGAGGGTCAGGCTAGGATTCAGAGAGACCGTGACCCATTGGAGGGTTGGGCCAGAAGAAATATCATGAGGTTCAACAAGGACACGTGCAAAGTCCTGCACTTAGGAGGAGCAATCCCCTGCACCAGGCAGGCTGGGGGTGACGGGCTGGGCCACAGCTCTGCAGAAAAGGCCCTGGGGGGGACAGGGGACAAGAAGCTGAACAGGAGCCAGCAGTGCGCCCTTGGTGCCAAGAAGGCTACCAGCATCCTGGGCTGCATCGGTAGGAGCGTCGCCAGCAGATCGATGGCAGTGATTCTTCTCTCTATTCGGCACTGGGGAGGCCACATCTGGAGTCCTGTGTCCAGCTGTGGGCCCCACTACAGAAAGGCTGTGGACACATTGGAGAGAGTCCAGGGGAGGGCAATGGAAATGGTTGTGGGGCTGGGAGACAGGACTGGTGAGGAGAGGCTGAGGGAACTGGGCTGATTGAGTCTGCAGAAGAGGAGACCGAGGGGGATTGAATAGCAGCCTTCACCTCCCTGCAGGGGGGCTGCACAGAGGATGGAGCTGGGCTGGTCTCAGTGGGGGCAGATGGCAGGACAAGGAGCAATGGGCTCAAGCTGCAGCAAGGGAAGTTGAGGTTGGATATTACGAAAAACTCGCACGAGGAGAATGGCGAAGCACTGGAACAGGCTATCTGGAGAGGTGGTGGAGTCTCCATCCCTGGAGGTGTTTAAGACAAAGCCTTGGCTGGGATGATGTAGTTGGGGCTGGTCCTGCTTTGAGGAGGGGGTTGGACTAGATGTGACCTCCTGAGCTCCCTTCCCACCCTCGTTGTCTATGATTCTATGATTCTCTACACGTGCACACATGCTGAAAGGTCCACACACCCATGCATGTTCTCATATGCACACTCATGCTCACACATGCCCACACACATACTCATACACTGGTGGGACCCCAGGGCATCCGTCAGCCCTGTCTCATCCCCCCTACCCCTGCGTCACAGTCTCTGAGCCAGCCCCGGCAGCAGGTTTCCAGGCCGTGGGGCCTTGCAGATGCTGTGAACCCCTCCGGGCCCAGCGCTGCCCTTGCCCCCCAGCTGGCAGAGTGGGGCTGCAGGAAATGCCTCCGGGGGGGCTGGAGGGGCCGTGCAGAGCCGTGACCCACAGGCAGGCCGCAGGGGTTGGGGGGCTCTCTGCTCAGCCCTGTACGGGGAGGGCAGCTGGGGACCCCTGCTGCCCCCCAGCCTGTGTGGAGCCAGCCCAACCCTGTGGTGGCCCCGGCTCAGCTCTGCTGATGCACTTGGCGTCTCTCACCTGCCCCCACCTGCCTCCCAACCCTCCCTGCCTGCAGGGCAGGCGGAAGGAGGCCAAACCAGTCTGCCTGGCCCCTGCTGCCGAACAACACAGCCCTGTGCGCTGGGGTGCACGTGCACGCCCCGGGCCTCCAGACTGCACTTGCACCTGGCCTGCGTACACAAACACACACTGGGCATATATCCGCTGTGCACTTCCATTAGGTATACCTATACCATGGACACATGCACTGGGCACATAGTACATGCACACCAGGCATACATACACGGTGCACATGCACTTGGCATACCGTACACACACACTGGGCATACCTACCCCAGCATACCTACTGCATACAGTGCACACGCACCTGGCACACATACACAGCGCACACACACTGGGCATACCTACCCTGTGCATACCTACTGCATACAGTGCACACGCACCCGGCGCACATACACAGCGCGGACACACTGGGCATACCTACCCCGTGCATACCTACTGCATACAGTGCACACGCACCTGGCACACATACACAGCGCACACACACTGGGCATACCTACCCTGTGCATACCTACTGCATACAGTGCACACGCACCCGGCGCACATACACAGCGCGGACACACTGGGCATACCTACCCCGTGCATACCTACTGCATACACTGCACATGCACCCAACATGCATACACAGCGCGCGCACACTGGGCATACCTACCCCGTGCATACCTACTTCATACAGTGCACACACACCCGGCATGCATACACAGCGTGCACACACTGGGCATCTAGTGAACATGCACTGGGCATTTAGTACACACACCCCAGCATATATTCCCCATGCACACATACAAGGGACATGTGCCCTGTGCACACCCACCGCATGCAGCGCACATGCAACAGGCATACTGGCACTGGGGACACACACTGGGAATAGAGCGCCCATAATTCACATGCCCCAGGCTTACGGGCATGGTGCACGCACACTGCATACGGTGCACACGTACCGAGCATGCCTGCACCGCGCGTGCACACTGAGCGTACCGTGGCATGCACACACATGCACACCAGGCACCCCGTGCATGCACCCGGGGCGTAGAGCGCTCGCGCCCGCCGTGCGGGCACACGCACCACGGGCTCCCGGGCTCTGTCCGCGCTG